CTGTGTGCACTTGCAGTTAATATTTCAATTGAAAAACTAACATACCAGTAAAAGCATCCCTGATTTGAGCTAATCATTTATTCCTGGTCTCACATAGGATAATGTTTGAGCCAATAAAGGCTGACATAACTTGAAGATTATTATTATTTTTAAAGTATGTCCTATCTTATTCCATCCTATGTCAAGAAATGTAACTGGTTCCATTATTTCTTCTTTCTCCAAATGTGCTTTTAGAGCAAAAAGAGAATACAGGCCCTTAGGGCTGTCAATGTGGCTTACTGCTTGTAAATCAGTCCCTATAAGAACCAGGGCAGGGCTGGGTCAGGTCATAGTTGGCCCCTCCTATGTCCTGAAAACACAGTCTTAATAGGTTTTAACACTTACTTATTTGGAATTCGGACACCTACAAAACCAATGCCAAATGTTTTCATGTTGAAATTCTAATTGAGGATCTAGCTCATGCAGAGAATCGTGTGCAGCCCTCTGATTACATCCCCCCCCCCCTTCATCAGACCCTGGCCAGTTCAGGGCAAATCTGTGTGGCCTGGTGGGGCAGCAGACATACATGGCCTGCTAGCTCTTTTTCCCCTCCCCAAATTCCACAGAGAAAACCTAGACAGACCTTCACGTTTCATAGAAACACATCTAGATTCTGTCCACAAAGAACTATAGCAACTGTTTTGGAAATAGGGTTTTGCTCACATAATTGATGCTAAGATAGTTTTGTGTTTCTAAAACAGCCTGAAGAGTACATTATTTTTGTACAAATGATGTTTTTATCTATGGTTCTGTTCCCAATCACATTTAGGGTGACCTATCTCAAATGTCTACATAACACACACACACATACACCTGTGCATACACTTTTATTCTCTAGTCTTCTTTTGTTGGAAGTTTCATCAAGCATGTTTATATCAAAATGCTGGCCAATCCCTACTACTGCTGTTACCTGGTGGTACGTGCCCTGAGTTCTTCCATTGCTTCAGTTTTCTCTCATTTATCTGCCTAAGCATCTAAGTCAATCCAAGAAGAAAAAAAAGGCAGATGAACGTCTGGTAGAAGCCCTGATGCCACTGGCTATGCTGGCTGACACATGCCTTCAGTGAGTCTTGGTGGGACTGAAGAGTATTCTTTTTTTCCTTTTTTTTTTTTTTGGTGGCGGGGGAGGGTCCAGTCGTGGGGCCTGAACGCTGTCCCTTAGCTCTTCAGCTCAAGGCTAGCGCTCTACCACTTGAGCCACAGCGCCACTTCCGGCTTTTTTTCTTATGTGGTGCTGAGGAATCGAACCCAGGGCCTCAGGCATGCAAGGCAAGCGCTCTACCACTGAGCCACCTTCCCAGCCCCTGAAGAGTATTCTTAAAAAAGAATTCTGGCCCTAAACTTACACTATGTACAAAACAAAAACAAACACCTCAAAAGAAATCAAAGATGTAAGAGCTAAAACTATAAAACACTTGGAAGAATATACGAGGAGAGAGTCTCATGACATTAATGATTTCTTAGATGGCAACAAAGCACAGACAGACTCTTATTTCCAATTAACCACTCAAAAACGGAAAGTGGAGCTGTGGTTCAAAGAGGTAGAGCACTAGCCTTGAGCAAAAAAGAATTCAGGGACAGTGTCCAGGCCCTGAGTTCAAGCCTCACAACTGACCAAAAAACAAAACACACATACACACACAAAATTATCTATTGAGCTGAGAGAAAAAAAAAACAACCCACAGGAATAATGGTGCTTCAACTTCTTTCCCAAAACAAACAAGTAAACAACCAACACAGACACATTCCAATACTGGATATATACCCAAAATAATTTAAAGCAGTACTCAAACAGTTTCATAATAGCCCCCAAATGGAAACCCAAATGACCACAGATGGACAAATGGATTCATAAACTACCAAATGTGCATGAAATGGAATATTAATTAGTCTTTAAAAGCAGTGAACATTTTAGGAATCTTGGAGGCATTATGCTAAGTGAAGTAAGCTAGATACAAAAGGACAAATATATTATGCGAGGAGTCAAATTCAGAGACAGGAATCAAAATGGCGGTGGGCAGGGGAAGGGAGGGAAGAATTCATGGGTACAGAGTCTCAGTTGGGGAAAATTGAAGTTATTTTGGAGATAGATGAGGTGATGGCTGAACTGACCACCTGAAACAGATAAAATGAGTCATTCTATTCTAGGCATGTCTTTACCTCCTCTGACACAAATAGGGGATACTGACTGAGCAGCTTAATACGTGGAACACCAACAGGAAGGAATATAAATTTTCAAGAGGAAATGGAAATGAAATCAGAAAAAGTTTCTATTTTCTTCTGGTTTTTTATGGCCTTTTCTCTTTATGCTTGTAATTTAAAAAGACACCATGATCAATGTGATGGCAAACAAGACCTTTTTCATAACAGTGGCAGAAGGTGTCTACATTGCTCCAAGATCAGTGTCATTAAATAGTTCATTCCCATTAGCCCAAAGGTTACAGTTATAGAAATTTACAAATCAAAGACACTGTAGAGATTTATACCAGAGTATGTTCACCACAGTGGTATTTATAATGCAATGCAATGAACATAATAAAATATATTTATATATAATGTGATAAAGATCCAATAGTATAGAAATAGTTCATAAATTATGGCCTAGCCAATGGTTTAAAGTACCTATTTGGGGCTGGGAAGGTGGCTCAGTGCTTGCATGCGTGAGGCCCTGGGTTTGATTCCTCAGCACCACATAAGCAGAAAAAGCCATAAGTGATGCTGTGGCCCAAGTGGTAGAGCACTAGTCTTGAGCTGAAGAGCTGAGGGACAGCACCCAGGCCCAGAGTTCAAGCCCCACGACTGACAAAAACAAAAAAAAAACAAAACAAAAAAACAAAAAAAATCTATTTAATATTCTCTACTATATTAACTTTGTTAAGTAATACTTAAAGATAGGTAAAAAAGTTAATCCTCTACTATATTAACTTTGATTAAGTAGAGCTGGGGATGTGCTCTAGTGGTAAAGCACTTACTTAGTATACCTGAGGCCCATAATGTTAACTGTAGTTAGCAATGGATTACAAAAGTATGGGTAGTTTTCTATTCTTCAAGATTTGTTGGATTTTTCGGGCTAAAATGCCCAATAGTCTCTAAATGATTGAAAAGTTTCCCATCAGTACAGGATGCCTTTACCAAATGTGATTTCACCAAGGTCACTATAAATGTATATCCTTCCAACACCAGAGGAAACCCAGTTTCAAGTTGCATTTTACAATATTCAGATCTCTTTGATATGATATCTGATTTTTTACACCAAGGAATAAAAGGCTTGTAATAAAAGGCTTATAAACCTCCAAAAAAAAGATTTGTTGGATTTTGTACATTTGTTCTTCTTTTGTAAGAAAAACATTAAAGGATGAACAAATGCAGCAGTGGTACTCACTAGACACCATGTAGAAAATGAATTATATAACTTGTGGGTGAAGATTCCAGGGAAAAACTGGGAGAGTGAGGGGAGGGGGTGACAAAAACAAATGTACTCTTGCTAGGAATGCAGCTTAGTGGTAGAGCACTTGCCTTGCATGAATGAAGCCCGGGGTTCAATTCCTCAGTACCGCATTAAACAAGAAAAAAAAAGCCAGAAGTGGAGCTGTGGCTCAAGTGGGTATAGTGCTAGCCTTGAGCCCAGGCCTTGAGTTCAAGCCCTAGGACTGGCAAAAAATAAAAAATAAAAAAAAATTAAAAATGTACTATAACATAACCCCTTTGTATTAAAAAAAAGAAAAAGAAAAAAGTCATGTCAGATGCCAGTGGCTCACACTTGTAATGCTAGCTACTGCAATCTGAGAGAGAGCTGAGGGTTGTAGTTTGAAGGATGACAAATCCAACAGATTCTTATCTTCCATTAAGCAGCAAAAGGTGAGAAGTGGAAGTGTGGCTCAAATGGCAGAGCACCAGACTTGAGCAAAAAAAAAAAAAAGCAAGAGTGAGAAGTCCTGATTTCAAGCCCCAGTACTAGCATAAAATAAAGGGAGAGAAGTGATAATAAAAAAAAGAAGAAGAAAATAGAAAAAATTTCACCAGAAGAAAAATTAGTTCTCTGGGTTGCTAAAGAACTCCATGGACTAAATCCAGAGCTTTACCAGAAAGGAAATGAAAAGAATGGATTTATTTTGCTATGGGTGGTGGATGTCAGGCAGGACGGGAACAAAGCAGCCCATTCTTTTGTACGAGGAGGCTTCATGGCGTCCATTTTCTGGAGCTGGGTGAGGGCTGAGGCTGTGTATGGGCGGGGCAGGTGCTCAAGGTTTAGCATGAGCTTGGTCCCTCTTTGTCCTCCCCTCTTGTGTGGCAATATATACAGCAGCACTGTCTCCTGTTTACAGAGAAGTACATGGCTATCCATGTGTTTTCATGTATGATGCAACTCATTAACCTGTCATGAACTGGAGCATTTAACATGACAGTTCCTTCTTCTTCTTCTTTTTGGTCTGTCGTGGGGCTTGAACTCTGGGCCTGCACGCTGTTCCTAAACTCTTCAACTCAAGGCCACTGGTGCCTGGCTCAGTTCCTTCTATCTTATGGGTAGGACACAGATACAGGGAGGGAATGAGGAATGGCTCAAAATAACTAACATTATCACACTGAGTGCTTGGCCAGCTCACCCACATGCTGCCTTGTGTCCCATGTACTGAAGCCAGTTTGGGTGAAATACGGGTGACTTCTTTTTAGGGTGATGTAAGCAACACAAGTTCTTCCTATCTCTTCCTTTCTGGGGTGTTCCCAAAGGCAAATGGGAGCAGTTGTTTCCTCTTAGGCCACAAAGAAGTAAGGTGTAAAAAAGTTCATATTGTGGTTTTGAGGTGACTCATCATGGCGTATAATACACAACTAATATCACCACCTAAACTCACGCCAGGTACACAGTGTCTAAGCAGCAAATATCCTGGTTGCTGGGAAGGAACAATTATTTTCTTACTTAGTAAGAAGACAAGAAAAAAATGTTCAGGAAGCGTACTCACCCAAAACTAACAATTCAACTGATCTGGTTCCTTGTAAGATGTGAAATGGGTTATGAAGGGATTTTTTTTTTTCGGGCGGCTTGCTTGGGATTTCTCTGCTCAATTTTTTGAGTCTTCTTTGAAGCAAATCCTAAAGGGTTGAAAAAAAAGTGCTATGAATATTTTAATATAAATTTCACATGTGCATTAGGAATCGAGGAGTCACTCTCCTAAGAAAATAAACCATCACATGTAACCCCTCTGTACATTGCCTTTATAATAACAATTGTTAAAACTTTTTGGATGCTTTTTTCAGGAAAACACCTGTGAAAAATACTACTTGAATATGGGTGCCAGTGGCTCCCGCCTGTAATCCTAGTTACTTAGGAGGCTGAGCTCTGAAGATCAGGGTTTGAAGCCAGCCCTGGCAGAAAAGTCCTTAAATTCTTATCTCCAATTAAGCACCTAAAAGTTCAAGCCCAGGGCTGGGAATGTGGCTTAATGGTAGAGTACTTGCCTAACATGCATGAAGCTCTGGGTTCAATTCTTTAGTACCACATAAACAGAAAAGGCTGGAAATGGTGTTGTGGCTTAAGTGTTAGCCTTGAGCAAAAGAAGCTCAGGGACAGCGCCCACACCCTGAGTTCAAGCCTCAGGACTGGGGGGGGGCGGGGGTGGGGGAGGAGTTCAAGCCTCAGGATTGGTACAACAAAACAAGGAAAACTTTGGGGCTCTAGAATAATTATAAAAGTCATGGATACAGGAAATATTCAAATGAAGAGGATTCAAAGTTGAAGATAAAACATTAAAACAAAATCTAAGATCAGAAATAGAATCCACCCAACATATCAGTGTTCTCTGAAGCTACAAATACCTTGTGTATTCAAATTTGTAAGATTCAATATGGCCAGTGAAGGCATCATTACAATGTCCACTAGAAGACTCGAGTTTTAATTCTAACTCAGCCATGGCTCGTTCTGTGCTTGGACAAATGTGTGCACTTGTCTGAGCTGTAGTTTTATCCTTTCTGCCCAAAGAAAGGAGTTATTAGTTTTCAAACTGCTTTTGTATTACTTTTTAGTTTTAGCATCTTTTCTTCCATTAAAATTTTACCTAAATGAACACACAAGTAAAATCAACAGAACAAGAACTGGTTGAAGTGGTGCCAGCACTATTTCTTGGTATATATTATTTGGGCAGAATTCTAAGTTTCTCCTCTCTACCGATTGGAATAGTGGATGTGTAAACTCTAGGCTGGACATATGGGGTTCTGCAATGTGTGGTAAGGAGGGAAGGTCGATCGCTCTTGTGAGTATTTAAACAAAAGAGAAACTTCCTCAAAATATACCACTTTTCAACTGTATATTTCTAAAAATATTCTGAGGTTTTTAAAGAATGGCTGTAAATACAACCAATCTCATAAAAAATTGAATGCTATTATACTGATTGTCACAGGATCCCCCAACAAAACTTTTATGGCATGTATTTCTCCTGACAATGTTGGGTGGCCTTGGGTTCCAGGCTAAGAAGTCTAGTTCTAACTCTATCCTTGGACACACAGCAGCTAAAGACAAGAGCCTCTTTGGTGTTGGGTGCCGGTAGCTCACGCCTGTAATCCTAGCTACTCAAGAGGCTGAGATCTGAGGATCGTAAATCAAAGCCAGGTGAGACTGATCTCCAATGAACCCCCAGAAAACCGGAGTGGCGCTGTGGCTCAAGTGGTAGAGCATTAGCCTTGAAATGAAGAGCTGAGGGACAGCACCCAGGCCCAGAGTTCAAGCCTAAGACCGACAAAAAACAAACAAACAAACAAAAAGCCTCCTCGGGTCCCACTTCTTGTCATGTTTCTCCTTGTACATGTTATTCTCATTGCTTCCAACCTGCAAGGCAACGTTCTAGCCAGTGTGTCCTTAGCCATTTTGGTTTTGTTTCTGCCAGGGCCTGAGCACTATCCCTGAGCTTTTTTTTGCTCAAGACTAGTCTCTATCAACTTGAGCCAAAGCTCTACTTTGGGCATTTTAGATAAGAGTCTTTTGGACTTTACTGCCTAGGCTGGCTTAAAATCACAATCCTCAGGTCTTAGACTCCTGAGTAGCTAGGATACAAACATGAGCCACCCGAGCCTCTGCACCCAGCTCAGCCAGAAACTTCCTGCCTTTTATGGGACCATGCCTGAAGCCCCTGAGTTAGGTTCCTAAAGTACCATATAATTGCACATAACACTCATTCTTACCCAGGGTTGAGCCACACAAAACTGCCATTATTGAGGTCTCTGGCAGCTTCAGACAGCTGTTGCACAACTCTAACCCCAATACCTTAAGCCCAATCCTAGCCCATTAAGTAGGTGCCTCATTGTTTAATTAAGAAGAAGTGTTGTTATAAGGTCAGTCATGGATTTTTCTGTTGTCATTGGGAGTTTAAATCATAGTTTTTATTTATTTATTTATTTTTTGTGGGTCGTGGGACTTGAACTCTGGGCTTGGGCACTGTCTGCCAGCTCTTTAGCTCATGGTAGTGCTCTTAAATCATATTTTTATTCAAAAGCTCTATTTTATGTCATTGGAACAAAGACAGAATGAAAAATCACTTTTCTTTTCTGGCATTTATAATGTACATCAGGGATTGAATTTAGCTCACCTGTAACATATTATTGATGATTTTTTAAAAAAAGCTCCCTCTACTAGTCTGCATTAAAACAATTCTCAAAGAAAGCCAGACAGCTTAGATTTATCTCCCTTAATAGCTTGTTTCATATAACAGCAACTCAGCTAAGAAAGAAAAGAGAGACTCAAAAGGAGTGTTAGACTGAAGAAGGAGGTTTAAAGTCTACTTCCCTCTCCCTTCAGAAGAAATGCAGCCTCAAATGTTCCCAACTCATTCTATCCAACTGCGCAGAATCAGAGTCCTTCTTGAAATAAACAGAGCAAAGCCTAAGTGTAGCCAAGGTGAGGTGGCGTATGGGCTAGGCGAGGCAAAGACAATCGGTAGCATTAATAATGGAAATGAGAGCCAACAGTCCTTGAATGCTTACTGTAGATCTGGCACAGTGCAAAGAACTCCAGACTGCATCCCCATGTTTAATTACCAGCTATAACCCGTGAAGTGGGTTCTGGGAGTCTACTCTGGAGCTGAGAGAATTGAGGCACAACAGAGCTGCCCAATTAATTACTAAGGTCCCCTAGCTGAGCATGACGAAACCAGGCTTCAGATGAGGAGCCTGAGAACAAGAGTTCGGACTCTGAATGGCTCTGCTCTGTGGGAGAATGCAATCGCTTCTGAGTACCACACTGGGGAAGTGGAAAATTCAAATGTGTGCCTCTAAGAAAATAACAAATTGTACTAGGAATGTGGCTTAGTGGTAGAGTGCTTGCCTAGCATGCATGAAGCCCTGGGTTCAGTTCCTCAGCACCATGGAAACTGAAAAGGCTGGAAGTGGTGCTGTGGCTCCAGTGGCAGAGTGCTAGTCATGAACAAAAAGAAGCTCAGGGACAGTGAGTGCCCAGGCCCTGAGTTCAAGCCCTAGGACTGGCAAAAAAAGAAAAAAAAAGGAGGAAGGAGGAAGAGGAGGAGGAGGAGGAAGAGGAGGAAGGGGAGGAGGAAGAGGAAGAGAAGGAGGTGGTATGAAGTCTTAGGCCATTGAAGGCCTGCCCTGAAAAGGATAGTGAGACCCCAGACCCTGCTTCTTCTTTTTTCTTTTCTTTCTTTTTCTTTCCTTCCTTCCTTCTCTCTCTTTCTTTCTCTCTCTCGCTCTCTTTCTTTCTTTCTCTCTCTTTCCTTTTTTTTTGGTCAGCCATGTATACCCCCACCACGCAGTGCTCCCTCACCAAAAGCTCAAAGCGGTGAGCCAAAAACAACCTTCTCTTCTTGCTAAGTGGATTGTCTCAGGTGTGTTGGTTACAGCAGCAGAAAGCTAACTAACCACCCAGGTGACCCTCTAGGTACAAACGCTGAACAGAACTGCCTAGCAGACCAGGAAGCGTCAAGATCCACTTTCTAACAACTGTTTAAGAACTCCAAGTATGCAATTTTAAACCATCAAAGATATTCACAAACTGGATTAAAACTAAAGATAGGGGTAAAGAGCATAGAATGTCAGGTACTCAAATATCACAAGCTCAGAAATGCCTGATTTGGGAGTTGGGGGGTGGGTGGTGGGTGGCTCAAGGAGTAAAGCACTCAAATGAAAAAGAATAAAACAAGAAAAAAATAGGGTAACTTGTTCCTTAGATTCTCTATTACTATGATTTTGAGTGTGTGCCAATACTGGGGCTGGAACTCAGGGTCTAGGTATTTCCCTTAGCTCGCTTGCTCATGCCTGGTGTTCTACCACTTGAGCCACAGCTCCACTTCCAGATTTTTGATAGTTAATTGGAAATAAGAGTCTCACAGACTTTCCTGCTAGGCTGGCTTCAAAATGTAATCCTCAGATCTCAGCCTGGTGAGGAGCTAGGATTTACAGGCGTGAGCCACCAGTGTGCAACTATATTCTCTAAGTCCTTAAAACACCATTATATTTTGCGAACTTTCTGAGATTTCATGAAATAAGTAGTTTTACTTCTCACTGCTCTTTCTTGTGAACATTAACAAAATTGTCTTTTTTCAATAGCCCCGAACAATAACAACAACAACCCAAAACAAATCAACCCCCCCACCCACCCATTCTAAAATTCACACCATGGAAATACTATTTTTAAACTAGTCACACATACTGAATCTTTGTGTATGCTTCACAGGTGGTAGTAAGGGAGTTCTCCATCCCCCTCCATCCTTGTGAACTGCCATTTGACCCTTTTTATAATATGCACCTTGTACCAGTGAAACCGAAGGCATCAGGCTGGTTACTGATTAAACCCTGGTGCTGAAAGGTGGTTTGGACAAATGACTGTTCATTGCCCAGCCCAGCCCGTGTGCACAAGGGGAAGAGAGCAGTCATCAGAGCTGTGAAATTCTGTCTGGTAGGCAGAATTAAACTACAAATTGCAGCAATTCGTGCCTGACCTCTGATCTGTGAGGTTAGTCCAGACCTTTGAACCTCAGCTTGGAATTGAGAAATAGCATCTACTTGTTCAGGAAAAGATGGTTAGCTTGAAATCTCTGAAGTCAGGGACTCAGTCAATCCCAGAACCAAGGTTCCCCCCTTCCCCACCCCCC